GCTTTTTTTCTTATTAGATCATAACCTAAATTACCCCATTTATTTTAACCTACGTTCTGCTACATGGCTAGTTAGCTGTGCTCAGGTGCCGTGTGTCTGTTCCATCACATCTTCCTGGTAAATCTCCCATCTGTCTGTATCTCAGAATTCTTTCTGCCTCCTGGATGTCCCACCTCCTATTTCCTGCCTAAGTCATAGGCCATCAGACTTATTATTGACAGGTGCTGCATCCATACAGACATAAGATGCTCTCTCTACAGCTTTCCACCACGTAGGTCCCCAAAATCAGACTTGAGTCGTTAGTCTTAGCAGCAAGCGGCTTTATCGGCAGAGTCATCTTGTGTCCTCATTGGATTTTTGCAAAGTAAGAAGATGTAACATTTATGGAAATCCCTGGCCAGGTGTCTAGTACATTGTAGGTCCTCAACAAACACTGGCTTTCTCACTGTAACACCCAGCACATCATGCTTCCTCGGAGGCCAGGCTCCCTCCTGGCCCTCTGGTCCAGCACTCTACCGTATTCATCTGAAGGTCTCAGTTTAATGTATGAAAACATCCCAGGTACACACAACACCCCTGTGACTACTTAAATGGATTATGTGCACTGTCAAGACAGGAGAAAGTTGCCGGGCGGTGGTGGCGCACGCCTTTAATCCCAGCACTTGGGAGGCAGAGGCAGATGGATTTCTGAGTTCAAGGCCAGCCTGGTCTACAGAGTGAGTTCCAGGACAGCCAGGGCTATACAGAGAAACCTTGTCTTGAAAAAACAAACAAAAAAAAACAAAAAACAACAACAACAACCAAAAGACAGGAGAAGGTCTTGCTCCGTCCTCAGCACACAGGAACAGTGGGCCACTGTCCTGGCCGGAGCTGCTGTTCCAGTCCAAGGGTCAGGGTCTAGCAAGAGAGAGAGTGGGGATGGAGGGGCAAGAGACGTGAAGAATAGAGACAAGACAGAGTCTGCTGCAGTCTCATTTATTGAAAGGAAATATAAGAGTATATATAAGCACAAGCAGGGGGACACAGCTGAAGACACTTTACCACGTGTGCCTTGCCGCTGGGGGCACTAAACAACAAAACAAGGCATGTGAGAAAAACATGATGTTTATCAGAGTGTGCTCAGCTGTTGTGGGCTGTTGAAAGCAAGTCTCTTGTCAGGGTATATGGCCTGAGATGGCTGCAAAGATGATAGCCGCTTTCTGCTAGGAGTCGGCTCCCAACAGGCCACCCTATCACTCCTTCTACTGGGCTCAGTTTAATTTCTAGTGGGCTCCCAGGTACTTCCAGTTATCAACAGACTGTTTCTGGAAGAAAGGAAAGGAAGAGGTGGAAGGGAAAAGGGGAAGGGAGGAGGGAAGGAGGAAAGACATGTGACTCAGTTGCTAAGGTCAGAGCCAGGTTCCTTGATTAAGCCAATTAAAGAGTAGAATATTGGGGAAAGCAGAGAAAGAAAAAAGTACCCAATGTGGTCACATTGAGAATAGGAAGGAACAAAAAGGTCCCATGGCCTCCCCAAACCATCTTCAGGCTCTTTATCGCCGGCATCTTTTCACATGTGTGTGACGGGTGTGTAATCGTCTTGCCAGCAAGAACGCACGCGGACAGACATCAGGATCCTTCCGCAGCAAAACGTTTATTCCAAAACAAAATGGTGGAAGACCCCAGGCCCAGAAAAAGCACTGTTTATATACCCTTAGAGCGATGTGCTCACCTCTGATTGGCTGCTTACTCGTTGCGCGCCAAAACGCCGTGGGATGGGCTTTGACTTTGGCGCGCTTTTACCATAGCACATGCGCAGTTTACTTGTTTACTAGGAAGAGCACCGGATGCCAGCGCCATGTTGCAATGGCGGATTTTTCCAGCACAAGCTGCGGCTTCCTACACATGTGCCTTTATGTTTTTGTTTTACATGTGGATGTGGGTGCCTGTCCATACATGTGGAGGCCTAAGGCTGATGTCAGTAGTCATCCTTGCTGGACATGGTGGCATATACCTTTAATGCCTACAGTAGAGAGGCAGAGGCAGGAGGGTCAAGGTTCTCTGAGTTCAAGGCCAGCTTGGTGTACATAGAGAGTTCCAATGAAGAAAGAGAAGGGAAGAGAGGAAGAAAGGAAGGAAGGGAGGGAGGGAGGGAGGGAGGGAGGGAGAGAGAGAGAGAAAGAAAGAAAGAAAGAAAGAAAGAAAGAAAGAAAGAAAGAGAGAGAAAGGAAGGAAGGAAGGAAGAGAATCATCCTTGATGGATTTTTCACATCATTCTACTTTATTATTAAAGTCAAGGTCTCTAGTCAAACCTGCTATGGCTAGTCTCTCTAGCCAAGACTTGCTGGGCATCTCCTGTTTCTGTCTTCTGGAGATGGACTTACAGGTAGGGCACCACACCTATGGCAGTGTTGAGATGGATTCTTGAGGATCCAAACTACAGTCTTCGTGCTTATACAGCAAGTACTTTATCTGCTGAGCCATCACCCCAGCACCCACCTTTGGGGTCTTAGCATGAGGTTTGGGTTTGAATAGAGGCCAAGAGGTGTGAAGGAAACAGTCATGCCAAGATCGTGCGCGCCATCAGTGCCCAGGATTCAGGCTCTTGCTTGGTAATCTGACAATCCTTATACGTGCTCGAGGCCTCTCCCTGGGAAAGTTTCCCCCTCTGAGAGATGGCACCAGAGCTTCAGTCTGCTTCATTGTCTGAGAATTGAAAGAAGGGGCATGAGGGTCTCTTTAGAATATCTTCATTTGCCGGGTGGTGGTGGTGGCACATCTCTTTAATCCCAGCACTTGGGAGGCAGAGGCAGGTGGATTTCTGAGTTCAAGGCCATCCTGGTCTACAAAGAAACCCTGTCTCGAAAAACAAAACAAAACAAAAAAAATCTTCATTCTTACCGGAACAGGCATTGGAGAGGAGGGACAGAGGGAGAGAGGAAGGGAGGGACTGAGGGAGGGAGAAGAGAAGGTCTTGCTGCTGTTCTCGGAACCTCATCTTCCACACCGGGGCAATGTGTTCTTATCTAGATGTACGTAGCTCTAGTTCTGAAGACAGACTATTTTATCGAGTGTTCTGCCTGGTTCCCAAGAGCCCAACCCCCTCCCCCAGGGCAGTCTGGAAGCCAGATGCTTTGTCTGTAGGCGGTGAGTCTGAATCTCAAGAACCCCCAAATCGACTTTCGGTTCAAGAGACAAGTGAGCTCTAGGGTTTTGAAATGGCCCTCACAGGCTCCTGTACTTGAATACATAGGTGGTGCTGGCGGGGAAGAGGGTATGGAATCTGTCTGTAGGAGTCACAGCAGATAGGCTCTGCTTTTAATCAGCCTTTGCTTCCTGTCTGCTTCCGTGGTGTGGCCAGATGCCCATGCTTCTGCTGCCATGCCTTCACTGTCATAACAGGTCACATCCCCTAAGACAGTGAACCCCAATAAACCTTTCCTTTCTCGGGGTGATTTTGTCAGTAATACACTGGCTCACTGATGCTTCTTCCTCTTTAGAGAGCGGCAGAGACAGAGAAAGAACCACACATGCATCATTATTCTGCAGTATAAATGTTCTTCGGAAGGAAAGTAAAGGATACAAGTCTCTCTGGGTGTTTCCCACTCTCTCAGTCCTGAGGGACATCCAATGCTCAGTCATGCCAAAGCATAAGGGCTTTGTACGTACTGTCAGGACCATGTAGGGAGGTGGAATATTCATGGACAACACAGTATTCATGGCATCAAAGTAGTCTGCTTACAGAAAAATAATAACACTTGAAAAATAAGAAAGAGAACTTCTAAATTAAAATTGTCAAGAAAAATTGGGTAAGAGAGATAGCACAATGGTGAAGAGCATTTGCTGGTCTCAAAGAGGACCCAGGCTCAGGTCCCAGAACCCACATGACACTTTACAACCATCTGCAACTCCAGTTCCAGGGAATAAAGCACCTTCTCCTGATCTCATAAAGACAAAACAATTACACACATAAAATAAAAGTAAATAAATCTCTTTTAAAAACAAAAAAATAAAAAAGAAAGGAGCTGGGGATATATCTCTGTTGGTAGAGGGCTCGCTCATGTGCACGTAGCCCTAGGTTCCATCCCCAGCAGTACAGAAACCCAGGTAGAGAATAAGTCTGAATTTCCCGCACTTGGGAAGTAGAGTCATCAGACCAGAAGTTCAAGATCACCCTTAGCTACATAACAACTTTGAGGCTAGTCTGGGCTACATGAGACCTCATCTCCAAAAGGAAACTGAAGATCATAAAAGGGATGGAAGAAGAATAAGCAGATCCTAGAGGCCCGATGGATTAAGAGACGAACAACGTGAATGAAATGTTATGAAAACAGGAAGAACATACAAGAAAGGAAGGATCTGTGCCCCCAAGTAAATGGGTGAATACAGAACAGCAAGAGGAAAGAGTATGGTATGTCCCCTCTGAAGAAAATCATGCTTCCTGGAATTGAGGAGGGTGGGTTTGAAAGAAAGGGCCTAGAGCGTCTAGGTAGGACACAGGCAAAGACAGGTCCAGTGGTTTCTAGAGAAGAGGTTGTGGTAAGGGAGTGGGGGGGGGGTCCCCTGGGAGCTGGGGTGGTAAGCGTATGAGTAGAGCCAGGATGGGAGAATCACCCATAAAGACTTGAGAATCGGATGACCTCGGGCCACATGGACGGCTCTTAAGTTCCTCCTTCACAGCTCTTTCTTCAGATCTGTGTGTAAGAGACTGAAGGTTATCTCTTACTCTCCTGCCCTCAGGATGCCGGGTCTTCTCTTCATTCCCTTTGGTGGGGTGTCAGACCCCCTTCTTCCAACCTCTCCCTCACTTGCCTACCGGTCTCTCATGGACTCTGAACCTTGAGCCAAGAAATCCTTAGAGAAGCTTCCTGCCCCCAACCTTGGAGATTCCTACCAGTGTAACTGTTGGCCTCTATGGTTGCTGGAGAGCCCACGTGACTGTATGGACAGATGTTTCCTGCCCCCAGGGGCCTGCAGTTTTAGAGAGGATGTCACCCTCAGAACCTACTGACTGCCCAGCCATGGGATGCTACCTGTTGCTGCTGCTGCTGCTCCTGGGAACAGCAGGTAAGATGCAGATGTAGCCATGCCTCCTTCACCAGCTGAGAGTATCACAGATGTCACAGCTACCCACTCTGGATCCCTAAATCTCTATGTCGGAGAGTGGGCTAGGAACCATGCCTGGTTCTATCCAACCCTTACTCCTATATCTCTTCTTTCCGCAGGCCAAGGCTCAGCTGACAGTCATCCTGAGGTGCTACAGGCACCGGTAGGGTCATCCATTCTGGTGCAGTGCCATTACCGGCTCCAGGATGTGAGGGCTCACAAGGTGTGGTGTCGGTTCTTGCAGGAAGGCTGCCAACCACTAGTGACCTCAGCGGTGGACCGGAGAGCTCCAGGAAATGAGCGCATATTCCTCACTGACATGGGTGGGGGGCTCCTGCAGGTGGAAATGGTAACCCTGCAGGAGGAGGACACAGGAGAGTATGGTTGTGTGGTGGAGGGAGCCGCCGGACCCCAGACCTTGCATACGGTCTCCTTGCTAGTGCTTCCACTAGGTGAGTTGCCCTAAGCTGCCCTCCCCTGTAGTCAGAAGGATGATCTGTAATGGGGACCCTTTGGGGCCTTGGGGTGTGGGGCCCACTAGGAAGGCATTGGGGTGAGATATCATTTTGACAGCTCAGCTGGACTGCCTGGCAACGGAACTGTTTGGGAAGCTGGAGATAAGCCACTGAGCGGCGGCCACATCTTCCTCTCTCCCCGACAGTAGCTTTCCATCACAGCATCTTCAAGGCTGTGTCTTCCTCCAACTCTTCCAGGCTGATGCTGTCTTTGTTTTACTTTATGTGAACTTCAAGCATGTTAACAGCAATTAATTTTTGTGCCTTCCAGTGTGTGTGTGTGTGTGTGTGCGTGTGTATGCGTGTGCGTGAGCACACATGCCACAGTGCATATGTAGAGGTAAGAAGTCAGTTGGTGAGAGCTGATTCTCTCCTTCACCTTTTGGGCTCTGGAGTTCAAACTCAGGCTGTCAGGCTTGGCAGCAAGTCCCTTTGCTTGCTGAATCATCTTGCTGGTCCGTGGCCATCACTCTATGCAGTAAACGGATGCTGGCTAACATGAGTCCTCTCAGGATCCCACATCCTTGACGTGCTGAAGTTTTTGCCTTGTTTTACTTTCTCTCTCTCTCTCTCTCTCTCTCTCTCTCTCTCTCTCTCTCTCTCGTGCATTTGTGGTGCCATCTGTGTTCTAAATACAGGCTCTCGTAAATATGTGTATGTGTGCATGTGGAGGAGAAAGGTCGATGTTGGGTGTCTTGCTCTCCACTTTATTTTTGGAGACAGGGTCTCTCATGGAACCTGGAGCTCTGCTAGGCTGGCTGAGCAGTAAGTTACAGGGATTCTCCTGTCTCCATCCATACCCTGTCCCAGTGCTGGAGTTACAGACACGCGCTTTACATCTGGCTTGTACACGGTCCTGGTGATCCAGCTCTTCATGCCTCAGTGGCAGGCCGCTTATTCACTGAGCCATCTCCCCAGCCCCCTTTTCAAATTTAAAGACATAGTCCATGTAACCCTGGCTAACCTGAAACTTGCATAGACCACGATGGCCTCAAATTTGATAAGATCCTCCACCTCCCAAATGCTGGGATTTTAGGTATGCTGTATTATGCCTGGTGCAACTCCAGGTTCTAATTCCTTGAGAGACAAATTGCAATAATACCAATCTGCCTGGGAGTGGGGAGGAGGGAAGAAGGATGACGGTGCAAGTGCCAGGAGCGCCTCTCGTTGCAGTGGGGCAGGGGCTGTGTAAAGGGACTGCTCAGGCAGGCGGGTAGAGCATGGTGCCCAGGGAGGGGACAGCCTGTCCCTCAAGCAAGCATTTAGTCTCAGAGGGTAGCTTAGTTAATTTTCTATTGGTGTGATGAGACATCAGCTTGCAGGAAAAAAAAAAAAGAGTTTTATTTGGGGGCTTACAGTTCTAGACAGAGTCCACGACTATCATGGTTGGGAGCACGGCAGCAAGCAAGAAGGCGTGGCACTGGAGCAGCAGCTCGGAGCTTACATCTGA